CTACCGCCCATGCGTTAAAGTCGCCCGCAATGACCACCGGTCTTAGGCCGACAAGTACCGCAGTCAGTCTGTCCACCATCTGCGAGAATTGCTCGATAGACCACCTGGGCGGAGCATAGCAGCTACTTAAGTATACTCCGTTAACCCTGGCGATCACGAATCCCTCGCTCGAGTTGGACACGACTACCTCCTGAATGGGGAAGCTCCCCATCGTGCATATCGCCGCCATCCCCGACGCGTCCGTGACCCAATTCCCGTTGCCGGTTGGGACGCGGTACGGGTCAGAGATGATTGCGACATCCGCTCCCCATTCCACTGCCGATTGCCACAGCAGTTGCTGGGCAGCCGAACAGTGGTTCAGGTTCAACTGCGCTACCTCGAACATGGCTGAGCATTGCTCTTTGCCTTAGCAGCATTGCTCTTGGACCCCGGGCAGCGGGGGCCACCTGCCATGTGGTTGGTAGGGGTATTCCCCTTCTCCGCGCATATACCATTTAAGGTGTGGATTACCGTAAGGGACCATGCATAAATGACGTTGCCTCTTAGAGGAGAGGGTGGGTCTGTACATTTGGCGATCGGGTATTAAATTGGAATCAACTGGCAACTAGTCAAATGAAAAATTGTTATTGCAATAGACCTGCAATGGATTCAGCAGAAACATAATTTTAAAACAATTTAAGTCATGGTAGATCGCTCAAAGCTGTTCAGGAATATGAAATTTTTTCTATGGCTGAGAAACTTCGTAAAAAGACTCGGAAGCTTTTTCAACAGGGCTAAACGAACATAATAGTGGAAAAATATAAGGAATCAATCACCGCTGATTATCAGAAAATACGGAAATCAAATGAAGCATGAAGTTATTTTTCCCACAATTTTTCAAAACATGAGGCACATTGAATTGTCTTAAAATCTTTCAACTTGTCTGAATTTCTCGCACTTGAATGAAATTTTAGCTTCTTCATACATTTTTAAGAATTTCTTCGAACTTCTCTACCATTTCATGATTTTTCCTGATATTCTTTAACTTTCCTGAAACTATTGGATTTTTCTGAAATTCCTCGGAACGTCTTGAACTGCTTCCTTCAAGTACTAGGAACATCCCTGCGAAACATGAAACTGTCTCAAAATTTCTCTGAAGCTGTTTGGACATTCTTGAAGATCTCGGAACTTTACTGAAGTTTTCGGAAATTCCCTGAGTGTTTTGAAACTATTCAAAATTTCTGCATTTTCCTTGAAATTAGGTGAATTGCTGGAAGATCTCTGATCTCCTCTGATGCTTCTGAAGTTAGTGGAGCTGCCCAGAAATAAACGTAATTGTCCTAAAAGTCTTTGAACTTCCTTTAATATCTCTGAATTTTCCATATGAAATGTATCATCTTTAAACGTCCCGAAAGTCTGGACTTTCCTGAAGCTATTGACATTGAAAATCTTTGAGAATTCCGAAGATAGCTAGACCTACCTTCGCTGAGGCTTTTGATTTTTTTAAGTTTTCACAATTTTGCTCAAGTTCTCTGAACTTGTTTGAAGTTTTCTAACTATCCGAAGTTTTGTGGGTATTCCTGAAGTTCTTAGAACGTATTAAAAGTTTCTGAAATTTCCCTGAAGCTGATGGAAGGGCCTTGAAGTGTTCAATGCTTCCCTGAAGTTCTCGAAATGTTATAAAAGTTCAAGTCGATATTTCCTTTCATTCTTCGGAGCTTCTTTATAGTTTCTTAAATTTTTGAGGAACAACCTCAAGTTTCTGAAATATCCCTGTAGCTTTCATTACTTTTCCGATCATGTTCCTGAAGTTGCCTTGAAATTGATAATCTGCCTTGAAGATTTTTGAATCGGTTGTAGGACTCGCGTAAAATGGTCATCATTTACCTTTTTTGAACTGATTGACGTTTTTCGTTTTCCTTATTGTTACACAATCACGCTGCCCAGTAGACGGATGCAAAATTTGAAATTTGAGCTCATTTATTATGCAACTGACTTGGCACAAATCTTATGAAGTTTGTATGAAAGTAACTATGAGAAAACCAAATGTTTTGTTCGGTCTCAAAATTTATCATATGACTCTGCTTTTAAAAATGATAACTATGCTTGTAGGAATTTTTTTCAGCTTCAATTTTGTTGAAGACCACTTTTCCATCAAATGCAAGGAACAAAAGTTATTAATTATTATTTTTTTCTTGATTTGTTTTCCATCGATCTTGTTTTCCGCGCTGAGTACCAATGCTACCGACGCCAGGGAGGCAGCTCCCATACCTGGATCGACCCATCAGCTCATGAACCGGGGACCAACGGCTTTACTTCCCTTCCCGGCGGCGCCAACTGGGATTGAACCCAGGCCTGCTGGGTGAGAGGTAATCACGCTTACCACTACACCACCGGCGCCGCTAAGCTATTAACTAAGCAAGCAAGTCACTTATGTCTTGTGATTATGTTCAATCAACTGTTCAGCATGCAACATTGGTGTTTCTGTCTCGTAGAATAGAGCAAAAAAATATATATAGGGGAAATGCAGGTAATGTCGGCCTAAGTGTCCCTAATTTGGGCCCATACTTAAATTCAGCAATCGACTAAATTTTCAATAACAACCAAAAATATTCATTAGTAAAGTCCCAATAACGCGTTCATCTAGATAAAATTGAAAAATAGCAGATTTTTAGAACCGTTCATTTGACACATCGAATTGCGGACAAACGAAACGCTCCAAAGGCATGTCGGTTCGTCGTGTATAAACTGCAAATACTTTGTGCCAAGTGAGTTTATTGAGCACTGTGAAGCAACAATTTCAAATATTCCACTGCCGTTCTACGAATATCTGTCCCATGTTCTAAAAGTAACATCGGAGAAAATCGCGAATAATGTTTCGAATCATTTCTGCTCATTGGAAGAAATATAAGTTAAAATGAGATCATTGTTCAAATTTTAATAGAATCAATTTGTTTTAGTGAAAACTATAGAAATAACCTTCAATGAAATCAGTTAAGCAATTTTTAGTCGAAAATTATTCAGTGCGACTGTTAGGCCGAGAAATTTGCTTTAGGAAATTCTACGCATATCAGTTCCACCAGGAACTATTAATTTCCGTGTTGCTTTGATAGCCACGTTGCGTTTGACGTCTTTACTCTTGTGGTTGTGGTTGTGTTTAGATGAGCGTGCTCTCCACGAAGTTTTGAAAGTGGATAGTTTGTATAGGGCATCATTAACTGAAACCAACAATAAGTGCGTTGACATTGCTGCAATCGTCGTTTGCTACATCAATAAAGTATGGGCATCTCGAGAAACTAATGATGAATGCTCTGTGTTTTACTACTACGCAAGATGAGTATAGGTTTAAAGGGGATTGTACTTAATCGTTTTGAGTTTACCCATAGATTTATGACTGCTGTGGAAATTGCTAAGTAATACCAACAATCAATACGAAACTAACGATTTTAAATTGGCTCACCACTTTAGTAGCCTATTGGTCCCAAGCAAACGATTAACGTTCCCTATTCTAGTCGAAATTCTAGTACTACGCAAGGTTTGTTTTGATTCGCTATGAAAGTTTGACAGATAAAATGAGGGGTTATTGGTGTTACCTATGTTTCGAGGGGTGATTCGACAAGCTTGGGACCGAAGATAGTACCAGAGGTGAGCCAAAAAGTTGAGCACGTTTCTTCGGGACCTACTTGTCTTACAGTTACCTCTATGGTAATACCATAGAACTTCGCCTAGAATGGGGTAGGTTCAAGGATTAAGTCACTCAGCACAGTGTGCTGAAAGTAGATTCGGCACAGCTTGGGCACATATATTGGCACAATCTCATAGGCATTGGATTGCTCATAAAATAAAGTGGGAGCACTGCTGGACAGCTGTCATTGAAGTTGTTCACATATTACGTGCTTTTGACTGTGTATTTCAGAAACATACTCTAATTGAATATACTAGAGGAACTCAGACCAGCAATTCACTTCTCAGTTCACATTTAAATTCAAAATGTATGCTTCCGAGGGCTGTCGATTGCTATCGATGCCGGTCACAAGTCTTTCAGCTACTACGCAGATTGAGTGTTCTACAAACCGGAATGCTAGAACAATTTTGGTGGATTGGATCATGCAGTGGTGGCGGTTGGATACGAAAAACTCAAAGGAGAAGATTACTGGCTAATCAAGAACTCCTGGTCCAACTACTGAGGCAACGATGGATATGTTTTAATGGCGGTGATGGGTAACAACTGTGGTCTTACCACCGAGGTGACGTATGTAAATTTGAAGTAAGATTTCTTTTTAAATTAGTATTAAGTAAAAAAACTAGTTTTATTTTCGGATATGGGTCATCTTTTAAATGGTTTTCGATTTTTGTAATTTAAAATTAAAAAATTAGAAATTAGATATTAGAAATTAGTTTTGTTTGGTAGATGACGAATTGACCGAGTGCTGGTAATTTGCTGCTGAAAAGTAGGGTCCTTACAAGGCCGAACTACTTTTCACGGCACAATCACACGGAATTTTTATTGCTTCCACTCAGGGTTACTTCCACTCACTTGCTATAAAAAAATGTTTTTCGGAGTTATGTAATCATGAAATATTATAATGCTAATTAGTACTTGTAAGTTAAAAGAAGAGGTCATGAAGTATATGTTAGACAAATAAAATATGTCAATATTGCTTTCAGTGCCTCACAATCAGCGATTTTACCACTCTGAGTGAACGCTCACGAATCATAAGATCGCTGATTGTGACGCGCTCAAAGCGAAATTTGCAGGTTTTATGAGTCAAACACAAACTTTACACCCTCTTCCTGTTACTTACAAGTGCAACATAGCATTATACCATCTAATGATTGCATAATTCCGAAAAATATTTTTTTATAGCAAGTGAGTGGAAGCAACCCTGCTTCTACTAATAAACTTACAACTTACTCGAAAACTCCCGGAACTCCAACCCGATGGCAAAACCGAACGTCTCAGCTTGGATCCTCGTAGGAGGCACATATCCAATAAGTTGGTATCCACACCGGAGACGTACCTTTTGTCCGTCATAGCCTGCTCGACACCCTCCGACAGTTTGGCATGTTTTACTTTCTTATCAGCATCCATTATCTCCATGATGTGATCCTTGAGATCAGGGTTGCTTCCACTCACTTGCTATAAAAAAGTATTTTTTCGGAATTATGCAATCATTAGATGTTATAATGATATGTTGTACTAGTAAGTAACAAGAAGAGGGTGTAAAGTTTGTGTTTGACTCATAAAACCTGCCAATTTCGCTTTCAGAGCGTCACAATCAGCGATCTTATGATTCGTGAGCGTCACTCAGAGTGAGCGCTCACGAGTCGTAAAATCGCTGATTGTGACGCACTGAAAGCAATATTGACCGATTTTATGTGTCAAACATATACTTCATGACCTCTTCTTGTAACTTACAAGTACTAATAAGCATTATACTATTTCATGATTCCATAATTCCGAAAAACATTTTTATATAGCAAGTGAGTGAAAGTAACCCTGCTTAAGATACTTGTTGAATACGTCTACCGTCACCAGGCAGGCCTTCTTGATGGTGATAACCTCGGAGTCCTCCTTGGAGCACATGATGTACCCGATTGGGATGCTGATGTCCACAGTGTCGAAGCTCTTGTCCTTGACGAAGGCTCGCCATGATTCACAGAATTCACCCTGGAAGTTGTCCTTGAAGAAGACGCCCAACGTTTTGCCATCCTTGGATTTCTTGATTGCCTTCAGCAGCTTTTCAAAATTTGCCTTGTCTTTCTCGTTTTTATCTTGAACCAACAGCTTCACCGACGGAATGCCCTCCTCACCGTCCTTCTCGATCTGCTTCCAGAAGTCGATCTTCTTGCTGGTCAGGAAAAAAATGGACTTTTCGCACAGCACCGTAATCGTATCGGTCAGCGCGTATCCCAGCAGCCAGGTCTGCAGCAGGTTGGATTTGCTGTAGATAGTTTCCTCGTCTGCGCCGACCGCCGTCAGAATACAATCTACCTTCTTCAGTGAATCATCATGGAAAAACTCTGGTTCCTTCCGTTTCTCTTAATATTTTCCATCATAACATAAAAGTTCTACTGAGTACTAGACTGAGAAAGCCATAAAAACAAAAATAACGAAATTACGAAACATTGAAAATGCTCTCCTGGACCAAGGGGTGCTTCGATCGTCCCACAAATTTAAGTTCTTATAAGTTAGACTAAAATAAACATCTCCTCCAAATTTGGTCCAAATCGAAAGAGATTAATTAGACTTTTGTATATTTTCTCGGTCACTTGGCGCGTCAACTCGGAAAAAATTGCTCCATATAAGTAAATGTTGACCGATTTGGTTCACAGGATTGATTGGAAAACAAATTGTATTATGGCAAGGGGGAGGGACATGTTTTGGTCACCCTTATGGCGTTTAAAGTTTAAAAATGCGATTTCTTTGTTTAAAAATCATTTATTATTATAAAAAATCTCAACCAATTTCAGTATAATTGCCATAAATTTGTCAATATTTCGAAAGCTTTGAGTTTTTTCTTTCCAAAACTGTTTAAAAATCGAAAATCTACCCACATTACGTATTTGAAACAAAAGTGTCAACAAAGGATCAACTTTCTACGATCAATTTCCGGGACATGGTGGGGTGCTCACCCGGAAGACCTCATTAAACTATATAAAACGACTATTCTTTCAGTTCTTGAGTATGGCTCTTTTTGCTTCCTCTCGGCAAGAAAAACCCACCTAATTAAATTGGAACGCATTCAATATCGTTAATTACGTATTGCCCTTGGCTGTATGCATTCAACACACAATATGAGCCTAGAGGTCCTAGCGGGCGTAAAACCCCTGCAAAACCGTTTCTGGGAGCTCTCATTAAGAATATTGATTAAATATAATGTCAGTAACAACGTTGTGATTGAAAACTTCGAAGAAATGCTCGAATTGAGCATCCAGTCTAGATTCGTGCGAATCTATCTTAATTATATGTCATCGGATATAAGCCTTCCTTGCTATAACCCCTCTCGTGTATGCTTTACTAACTACAGTTCCCCCATTGACTATGATCTCTCCATGAAACAGGCTATTCAAGGAGTTCCAGATCAACTTCGACCTATCTCAATTCCCTGATTTTTTGCTGAAAAGTACTGATGGATCACGCATTGATGGATCCACTGGCATCGGCGTCTTCAATGAATACTCAACCGCCTTTCGGAAACTTCAGGAACCTTGTTCCGTTTATGTTGCTGAGCTAGCACCAATCAACTTCGCATTGGGGATGATTTCCAATATGCCCATAGACCATTACTTCATCTTCTCGGATAGTCTCAGTTCAATTGATTTTTCAATTCGGTCGATGAAACAAGGTAGGAACTCATCTTATTTCCTTTCAAAGGTAAGGGAGCAGATGAGTTTGCTGGTCGAAAGATCATATATGATTACCTTTGTATGGGTCCCCTCACATTGCTCAATCCCAGGCAATGAGAAGGCAGACTCTCTCGCAAAGGTGGGCGCACAACAAGGCGACATTTATGATAGAAGAATTTCAGTTCTCTTTTAAGTTGGCAAAACGATTGGACAATTAATTCTCTTGGGCGGTGGTTACATTCCATTATTCTAAATGTTTCTTCGAGAGCGTGGTTCAAAGATCTGCATGTAAGTCGGGGATTCATTCGAGTGATGTCAAGACTTATGTCCAACCACTACTCGCTAGACGCACATCTCTATAGAATAAACCTCGTTGACAGCAATATATGTAGGTGCAGAACCGGTTTTGGTTTTATGAGGGTTCTGTAGACCATGATTTAGACTTGTAGAATGTTATAAAACCGCGATAAAACCTGCAATGTTACTTGGGATCGCTCATGCAGTTTGACATTGTATTGTGAACTCTACATGCAGGCGATCTACGAATTCCTTTGTTTGTCTGATGTTAGAATTTGATGTGACCACCCCTCCTTTCCACACATGTTTCAGCCATTGTGTCCCAGTATTATTATCCCCCTATTTCTGTGCTACTTGCCCCTGCCCAGCCAGCATTTTGTCAACCGTTCGAGAGTAGTATCTGCAGAAGGCTTCAGAAACCAGTTTCCTACCTAGTTCCTTCCAATCAAAATTGTTACCCATTAACCTCGAGCCCGCCACGTGTAATTGGTACCCAATACTAACCTAGAACTACTGCTATTTGAAATGTAGATTCAAACATTTCTGATTTTGGCTCCGAATAGTGTCACACACGACTGAGCCTAGTAAATAAACGAACTAGTAAAAAAAATCGAAAATCGGTTGACAACTTATTGAGTTATTCATACCGCATACTATCGGTAACTGATAGAAGGTGATAGAATAATTTCGAATCGTGATATCATTGTGTACTCGGAAAGTATTTTTTTTTTGTCGTGTAACACCAAATTTGTCTTAAATCGTCTAATAGATCAGTCAATCTGCCTCATTGATTTTTCAGTCTCCAAATTCGTTAATGTTCATGATGCTGAACATGGCCAATCCACCAAAATGTAAATTTACCCATTTTGCCGCACCAATTTGAGTACCTTCCGAGCAATGTCATAGAGAACAGGTCCGGCAATGCGAATTTGTCGTCTTTCTCATTCTACCGCTGTTCTTAAGGTTTGACAAGTTTTACATCACACTCGTCGTTATATAAAAGCAGCGGGGGAATGAAAGAGACGCATTGCCGAATCTGTTCTCCATGACATTACCTTCAGAGCAGTTGGTGTAACTCGGAAAGATGAAAAATTGTGACAGTATCGACACCATACTGTCGGGTACCGGCAATCCAATTTAATAAATCAAATCATATGTGAAAATGACTTTTAAGGAACATGTTCCCGTGGAGCGTAGAGAATTCAGTTAAAGATGAAGAATGATGCGAATGGGATTGATATTGACAGGAAAATCTCATTAGGGACACAAAATGGAACGAATTCCGAAGTAAAATAAACAATCACGTCTGGTTTGTGGAAATCAAAATCACGTGAAAGACGCTGACGACAGCATAAAAAAAAGGAACCAGGCAAGCGTGGTGGTCTTTATCGCATTTCTGCATATCGTTATTCAGAATGACGATTCAGCAGCGTGGACGTGACTGCTTTAGACGTGAGACTGAAGAGCATGCGATTTTTTTAAAGTTGATAATGCGAAGAACTTATTTACTTTTCTCTGAGAGTGACGATTCCATGAATCTGCCAGCATGCTGCGTATTACTATCTTAGGAATCGTGATTGCTCCCACGCGTTCCAAGTCAACTGATAAGCTCAATCCAATATATAATCGAAAGCAAGTGACATTGTGTTTGCATTTGGGCCTTAGCTACTAAGAAAACACGTGTGATTCATCGACCGATTGAGCTGAAGCGTTATCTATTAATCAATGCGAGGAACAACAACTGCAGCCACTTCCATTGGCTTGTTTTTCGAAACAATCTACCGATTTGGATGGGGTAAAGTACCACACCATCATCGATCGATAAGCTGCTCAACACCGGCTGCCGATTATCGTGCAAACGGATATCGATGAGAAACAATTAATACCCAGGTTTGCAAATACATACCTCCCGCTACTTAGTTTCGGCTCGCAAAGTATCGCAATCAACGACCTGAAATCGAAGTTGAAATACTCGCTAAATAATTCCCTTTCGAAAGCCAACCGGTCGAAGCATCACAGCAACAGTTAGCAGTAAAGGAAGCTACCGCCCCGCAAGCAATTATGACGGTGATTTACGCCTCACTGCCAGTTGGCTAGCCGGCGCAACGGCTCACGGATTGACCAACCTTGGTCTACAAAATTTTATGCTTTTTGAAAATCACTGCGTAAACAAAACATTCCTCAAGTTAGTATATGACCCTGTCATACGTATCGTCCGAATGTCCCGCATTGAACCAAAACAAGTTCATTGCCTAACTCCTGCGGGCGAGTGTCATTTTCCCAAAACAAATCCCACCCGGCCGAGCCGAGTCATGTCGAGAGTCTTGTTGAAACGATCGCACAGTGGGGTACAGGTTGGTCGTGATTCGATTTTTTGTGTGAATAATTGTTATGTTTTGCTGTCAAATAGGAACGCATATTCTCTATACAATCATATCCCAAAGTTTCATTATGATCACTTGAATATTTAGTGCGCAAGTAATTTGAAGCTAAATTTGAAAGATTTGTGAATTTTGAGCAAATGTGTGCTAGTTCATGATTTTTTTAAATTTCTGTTGGCCTCTCATTACTCTCGTAGAAGGTCCTTACAATCACTCTTATAAGCAATTTATCATTAAATACGTAATCTATTGCCGTTATCCTTTTAAAATATCAAATCGCTAAAAAATAAGTACCTTGAAGATAGCTTTTAGTTATTTTAACAAAAAATATTAAATTTTTACATTTATTAGGTTTCGAAAAAACCTAATGCAATTTTTAATTTTTCGACTGTTATCATCAAATCGTGACTAAATATTTCTCATATAATAGCTACACATTGAAACGCTAAAAAGTTCGAGAAATAATTATGATGGACTTTCGTATGGAGCCACCCCACTGTGGGTCGGGATCGGGAAAATCATCAGCACTCAAGTGTTTGCTTTTGTTATGCAATCTGGTTCTCTGCTAAACACTTTACCTACTCCTTGTGCCGCCGGACGCTTCCGCTCGAGCACACGCCGTGTATTTCCAAAGTGAACACATATCGAAAAAGAGTACAACAAGTGTTTAATGATCAAGCGTTCATCTTTAAATTAGACTGGCTAAATTTAGAACAAATTTTTCACAGCTAGGGTAAACGCTCATATAGTTGCAATACGTAAGAAGCGTTAGGCTCCTATAGTTGCTTATGACGGCTCTACAAACAACTATAGGAACCTAAACCTTCTAACGTACTGCAACAAGGGTTGACATTGTGTTTTTTGATAACCGGTTTTTTTTTATTTGAAAAAGCTGGTAATGGACAATTTTTTCGTAAATGGAAAATGCTACTTATAATCAGGAAATATTATAAGTTGTGTATCCGAAATGATCATAGTCCTCATAGCACATCCCAAGTCATGATATATAAAT